GTGAGAGGCCGCAGAGGCTGCAGGAAACTCGCTTATATATATATATATATATATATATATATATATATATATATATATATATATATATATATATATATATATATATATATATATATATATATATATATATATATATATATATATATAGTAGTTTTGAGTTTCTTGAACCGTATTATATTTAATATAAAATTAATGTTTCTTGGGTTTAGGTTCAATAAAGATATGTTACATGTGGAACTAGATTTTATTTTCCATTGCAATCAATCAACGTTTCGGCAGGAAACCCTTGCCTTTGTTAAGATTCTAAAATGTGTATATATATATAAGGACAAACAGATATTTTAAAATATGTATATATATATGACTTACCAAAACGTAAAACGTGACACAGACATTAACGAACTGACATATAAAAGTTGATATCTGATATCTCATTGTTTACTGTCATTAGTATATAATTATTTTTATATGAGCGTATCGTTGATGTTTTCGAAAAAGGTAAGGTGGAGATATGTTATGACTTTAAGAGCTTTTTATGATGTTATATTAATATTGTTTAAATCAGATTGAAATATATTTTATTTAGGTTTTGTGTATCTTTTTTGTCATTTATTGCGTTGGTGTTTCTTTTTATTTCTATTGATTCGTATATCTCCCTCTTCTTTTTGTTTTTTTCTGTTTTTAAAGTTCTGATGTTTTCAAAATCAAATTTATGCTTCTTCCCGCTTTCATGTTTTGTGAGCGCAGTGACGTTGTTCTTGTCGTATTTGTGAGAACGAATTCTGGATTGAAGCAGTTGACTGGTTTGACCGATATAGACACCTTCACAGTTTGTACATGGTATCTCGTAAACAACATGTGATTTTTTAAGTTTTGGAGTTTGTGTTTTTAGTTTTGTGAAATATTTATTTAAGAGATTGTTGCCTTTGTGGGCCACTGTTATGTTATGTTTGGCTAAAAGATTGGTTAGTTGTTCAGATAAACCTTTTATATATGGAAGAGTTGTATAAGTGGTTTTGATACTGTTGGGTTTGTTGTTAGTAGTATTGTTATAAAATTTATTGAGTCTTGATTTGAAAATAGTTTCGATTAGATGTTCGGGATATGCATTCTTTAGGAGGGCATTTTTTGCTTTTTTTATTGCAGTTGGTCTGTATTCTGGATCTGTTAGTTTTATAGATTTATCAGCGAGACTTATAATTACAGACTTCTTATGGGAAAATGGATGATGGGAATTGTAGTTAAGATATCGTGAAGACCATGTTTCTTTTGTAAACCACATAGTTTTAACTGTATTGTTAATGCGATGTAAGGTGACATCCAGAAAGTTTATTTTATTATTTTGTTCAATTTCTATAGTGAACTTTAATTTTGGATGGTAACTGTTGAAAATATCTAAAATTTCGGTTATTTTATTTGTTGGAATAGCACAGACACAGTCATCGATATAGCGGTAGAAGAAATATTTGGTATATCGATGACTGTGTCTGTGCTATTCCAACAAATAAAACAACCGAAATTTTAGATATTTTCAACAGTTACCATCCAAAATTAAAGTTCACTATAGAAATTGAACAAAATAATAAAATAAACTTTCTGGATGTCACCTTACATCGCATTAACAATACAGTTAAAACTATGTGGTTTACAAAAGAAACATGGTCTTCACGATATCTTAACTACAATTCCCATCATCCATTTTCCCATAAGAAGTCTGTAATTATAAGTCTCGCTGATAAATCTATAAAACTAACAGATCCAGAATACAGACCAACTGCAATAAAAAAAGCAAAAAATGCCCTCCTAAAGAATGCATATCCCGAACATCTAATCGAAACTATTTTCAAATCAAGACTCAATAAATTTTATAACAATACTACTAACAACAAACCCAACAGTATCAAAACCACTTATACAACTCTTCCATATATAAAAGGTTTATCTGAACAACTAACCAATCTTTTAGCCAAACATAACATAACAGTGGCCCACAAAGGCAACAATCTCTTAAATAAATATTTCACAAAACTAAAAACATAAACTCCAAAACTTAAAAAATCACATGTTGTTTACGAGATACCATGTACAAACTGTGAAGGTGTCTATATCGGTCAAACCAGTCAACTGCTTCAATCCAGAATTCGTTCTCACAAATACGACAAGAACAACGTCACTGCGCTCACAAAACATGAAAGCGGGAAGAAGCATAAATTTGATTTTGAAAACATCAGAATTTTAAAAACAGAAAAAAAACAAAAAGAAGAGGGAGATATACGAATCAATAGAAATAAAAAGAAACACCAACGCAATAAATGACAAAAAAGATACACAAAACCTAAATAAAATATATTTCAATCTGATTTAAACAATATTAATATAACATCATAAAAAGCTCTTAAAGTCATAACATATCTCCACCTTACCTTTTTCGAAAACATCAACGATACGCTCATATAAAAATAATTATATACTAATGACAGTAAACAATGAGATATCAGATATCAACTTTTATATGTCAGTTCGTTAATGTCTGTGTCACGTTTTACGTTTTGGTAAGTCATATATATATATACATATTTTAAAATATCTTTTTGTCCTTATATATATATACACATTTTAGAATCTTGACAAAGGCAATGGTTTCCTGCCGAAACGTTGATTGATTGCAATGGAAAATAAAATCTAGTTCCACATGTAACATATCTTTATTGAACCTAAACCCAAGAAACATTAATTTTATATTAAATATATATATACATATATATATATATATATATATATATATATATATATATATACATGTATATATATATATATATATATATATATATATATATATATATGTATATATATATATATATATATATATATATATATATATATATAAATATTTTGGAACAAACAAGTGAATGGAATAAAGATAAAAATGTGAGTTTTATCAACTGTGAAAAGGCCTTCGACCGTGTAAATAAGGTCCAAATGTGGAAAATCTTAAGATTATAGGATACTGAAAATCATAAACTTTATTAAACTCTTCTACGAAAGATACAAAGCCAAACTGGAACACTAAAGTAACAGGAGAAATAGCCATAGAAAGTAGAGTCAAACAGGGTTTTGTACGATCTCCTACAATATTTCTTATTACGATAGATTGGGTAATGGGAAAAGCAACTGATGATCGAACAGGCATCAGGTGGAACCTTTTGAAATAGCTAGAAGATCTTGAATTTGCGAATAACATCTGCCTACAAAGTGAACACCGAAGTCACATGCAAACAAAAATTGACAAGTTGGCACAGTACTCGGGCACAATTGGACTACGAATAAACACAGAGAAAACCAAACTCTTAAAAAATAAATAACCACCCAAATAATAAAATAATGATAAGCGGTAACGAAGTAGAAGAGGTAAAGTTCACATATGTGGGATCAGACATGAAAAGGAACGGAGGGTGTAAAAAGGATATAAAGAGGAGAATAATAGAGGCTCACGTGAATTCAAGGCTTTAAATAAAATATGGCGAAGAAGCGAAACATCAGAAATAACAAAAAGTAAAATCTTTATTAATTACGTAAAAAGTATACTCCTTTACGAAGCAGATACATAAAAACAGGACGAAACCACAAATAAAAACTGCAAACTTCTTTTTTAAATGAATCTTTAAGAAAAATTCTGACAATATACTGGCCCTACAGAACAACTAAAACAAAACTATAGGAAAGGACAAAGCAAACTAAATTATCTACTACAGTCAAGGAAAAAATGGAATTGGATTGGCCATGATTTGAGGAACCATGAAAGCAACTAAACCAGAGAAGCAATTAAGTACCAACCAGAAAGAAAAAGAAAGAGAGAAAGACCAGACAACAGCTGGAAAAGAACTACAACGAGATAAAACGAAAAAAATGGACTAATATGGGGCGAAATTAAAAACAGCAAGAAATAAAAGAGAATGGAAGGAAATATTACACAGTTTATCCAGAGAATAAACAAGAAAGAAGATGCACTGGCCCGGCCAGTCAGCAATCTTACATTTTTGGCCAAGAAATGTATAAGTAT